CCACCTGCCTCTCTGCTTTTTGCGGTGGTAAAAGCAGAGCGGCAGCGGGGGACGCGGGAGATGTCTGAAAGGGGAGCAGGGAAGGAGCCAGCATCTTTGCGCGCTGGGCTCCTCTGTCTCTTTATGGGCGGGGGGAGGGGAGCGTTCGGGTTCTCGCGGAACCCTTATGTTCGCTTTGTGGAACCCCAGGGTTCCGCGGAGCACCATTTGGGAAACACCGCTCTAGTGAGTGCCAGAGGCTCATGGGGAGAGGAGCTACCAGTGGCCCTTTGGTTAGTTTCCCCCGTCTTGCTGCTAAGACTATCCCTGTTTCACCACTGGCCCCGTCATTCTTCCCTGCCCGATGATGGGTGGCATTTGCCACATATGTGGTATAAAGTCAAAAGTAGTAGGCAAGGACCATTTTGCGGGGCCCCCCCTTTGCCATGGCGCATGCGCAGTGGTGCCATGGTGCATGTGTGGGGCTTCTTGAAGCGCGGGGCCCAGGGCAGCTGCCCCGCTTGCCCTGCCCTATATCTGCCCCTAGTAGTAGGTTTTGGTTTACTTGTGTGGAATGATTTTATTTTTTGTTTCTAAGGGTGTATCTACACAGCAGGGCTTAACTCAAAATAAGCTACGTAAAGTGAGCTACATCAATTGTAGCTTATTTCGAAAGAACTTATTTCAAAATCGGGAGCATCTACACAGCACTTATTTTGAAATAGAGCAATCTTGCTCTGACTTCTCTTACTCCTCGTACAATGAGGCTGTGTTTACACTGGCATCCCTTCCGGAAAAGGGATGCTAATGTAGCACTTTGGAATAGGCAAATCTGCGGGGGATTTAAATATCGCCCGCATTATTTGCATTAACATGGCTGCCGCTTTTTTCCAGCTTGGAGATAAACCGGAGAAAAGCGCCAGTCTAGACGTGATTCTCCGGAAAATAAAGCCTTATTCAAGTAGGAATAAGAAATCCTCCGGAAAAGGCTTTATTTTCTTGAGAATCACGTCTAGACTGGCGCTTTTCTCCGGCTTTTCCCCAATCCGGAAAAAAGCAGCAGCCATGTTAATGCAAATGCCATGGGGGATATTTAAATCCCCCGCAGATTTGCCTATTCCAAAGTCTACATTAGCATCCCTTTTCCGGAAAGGAGTGCCAATGCAGACACAGCCTGAGAGTTACAGGAGTCGGAGTAAGAAGTCCTTCAGCTTGACAGTATTTTGACATTATTTTGAAATAACTGCCTGTGTAGACATGAACTAAGTTATTTCAAAATAAAGCTAGTTATTTCAAAATAAT